ATGGTCCAGTATCATGGTTAACCCAACTATTTGTTCCTCTTTCCTGACCACACAGGTTTTGTATGTCATGTGTTATGGGGAAAGTTGCTCCACTAAAATGAGAACCAGAGCAATGGAGATCTGAGCAAGGAAGCTGGGCTTTCTATTTGTTCTGTTGTGATACAGTGGCCCTGCTTCACATTTCCCCGTGCTTGACAGATTTAGTCTTGTATCTTCTTGTTTACTTCTTGCCTTAGGTTAGTTGCAGCATCAGAAAGCATTCTGCATTCCTGGCTTCTTGTGTTACATGGGTCACCATGAATATTAAAATAGAAAGAATCGATTCATTTTCTTTGCTGTGACAGCAGAGAATAAAATTCAAACTTCTAAACCCTACACATGAAACCAGATTAATGTGGGACACAAGAACAGCCACAAAGTAGAAATTCTAAAGTAATCACACCTGTATGGGGGGGGTATTCTTAAAATTAAAAGAGCAAGGGGAAAAATAAGTCTTCCCTCTCCATACAGTAGCTCCAATCCTAAGTGGAGAATACTAAGAAAAGTATTTTTCTTTGGTTGTTCAAAATAAACATGTGAACCAGTCAACCACCAGAAAGGGAAGGCAACTGGAATGCCAGCCAGGTAGGCAGGGGTCTACCAATTCAAGTCAACTTGGCTGGTATAGTATCCTTGGATAAATTCCTTACGTAAACCTTAAAACTAAGGACAACTTGAAATATATTGCCAAACACCTAATTGATGCTGAAGACAAAGGTTAAAAAGGAAGAAAGCGATGATGAAAAATATGCTTTGTTCTGTGTATTTCATGAAGATGGGATTAGAACAGCAGGACAGCTTCCTATGCTGCAGCAGCACCTTGTGGCAAGCCATACATTTTCAGCCATCCTGCTTGATTAAACCAGACAATTGCACTGCTATTCTTGCCTCTCCTTGAATTCATTCCACAATTGAGATGAGGAAGAATAGAATCAGGTTGGGTAGAGGTAGCACTCATAAGAAGCACATACATACATCAATCTAATCTGAAAGACCTCCTTTCTGCCAATTCTTGGTTTCAGCTGATACTATCCACTGGACAATAACCAAGTAGCAAAGAATGTGCTGCAACCAATTAACTCTATCCCTAACCCAAACCTCCTACTGAAGCAAGGAAGGACTTCTACCTAGCAGCTTAGAGTGCAGAATACCAGAGAACCACCAGTGAAGTCACTCAAAGCAGAAAGATCTCCGTAGGACAGGCGGTGGAGTGGGGGAGTGGGAAAAAGGAGATAATGGCACATTTAGATTCAGATTGAGGAGTTTTTTGTTTTACCCTTGATAGCCTCCATTTCTAAGTGTCCAATTTTTTTTTCACCAAGCTGTAAAATGATTGAAGTTTCCTCTTTCTGCAGCTTATAGCTTTGTATACTTTGTGTATCTTAACCAATTTCCTACTTTTGACGTAGATGTTTTGTCTAATAGTTTGGCTTACAGGTTTTCATCTCACTGTATGAACATCTTATTAAACTGAACTACTATGGATCAGCAAAACTTAAATCCAGAATTCCAGAGCTATGATACCTGATGTTTTAAAACTAATCACTCATACCCACTATCTTCAATTTTCTTCTTTTTTAAAAAAAGGTATCATTTTTAGGAACCCAAATAAATCTTAAAAGCATCACTATTTAAGCATTTTTGGAACTGTAGGTTTTTTTATACTGCAGAATAATTTTCTCCAAGTGATAATATAGCAGTTTTAAGTCACTGATCTTTCTCAAAGAAATGTAATCTCCTGATTCTCATTTTTTCTCCAACTTTTTCAAAAATCTTCCACTGCATTTCAAAATAATTGCTTTGAACCTTCTGATGAAACATTATCAACAGGCTTATGTTGTCAGTTCTAATACACCCACCATTTCTAAAGTTTAATGAGTCACCAGTTTTTAAGATCCTTGCTTTCAGATTTTTAAGCAGTAATACCAACAAATTTACATGCTAAATTTCAGGCTATGCAACTTAGTATAATTGCCCTTTAATTTTAACTGCTTTATAAAATCCTGTACCAATGAGTTGCAATGTTATCAACCCATATCCTTTTAAGCAGCTATAATATATATTCCACATAATACAGAATCCAAGAAGCTACCACAGCTTTTCAGACCTATCTGCAGAAACAGCTTGCACAAGCAAGGATCGAGGAATCCCTTGATCAGTCCCATTACTTAGTATTATCCACACTGTCTCTCATTTCATTACCACTCTTTTAAAGAAATTAGATTTAAGATAATTTCACAGCTTTCTAATAAAAAACTTTAAATTCCACAAGAAGTAAAAAAAAAAAAAACAACCCAAAACCAAAACAAATCCACATGAGTATTATTAACATAATAGTTAGGGTCTTTTGAAGGATATTTTAATAAAATAAGTAAAAATAATAAAATATATAACAGGCTAACATCTCTTAAAAATTAAAAATATTAATGTTATTCTTTTACTGATTAAGAAATAGTATTTGGGCAGAATAACATTCTGGACAGACACATGAAGAGTTTATGTTTATTTGTCTACATTCAGCATAATCCAGAAGCTGTCTGAATGACCCAGACATACAAACCCACTCTTTCCCACAAATTTAAAAATAAATCATCACTTATAAAACTGAAAAACACTAAAGCATTAAAATACAGAAAGCTTGTTTAAACTCACTTCACAAAAGCAGAAGACATCCCTTATCTATTTAAAGCAATCCTGTGTGTTAACACCCAAATGTAATTTAAACAGAAGAGGGATATTGAACTCAAATTCTATTTAGACAAAAAAAATTGAAATGGCAAACTAACAAACCATTAAATACACCATTAAATGTCCAAAATACAGCTAATTATGGAATTACAATGTACTCAACCATTAGTGACTGATATCACAAAGAGCACTGCAACATGGAAACAGGGTTTACATGTTTACTGTGATGCAATAAAACTTAATATTCAAAGGTTATGCAAGTTTAGGAGATAACAAAGATTCAGACCCATCGAGAACAAACTAGTTTATCTATACTGATAGTTCATGCTGTGGTCATTTCTGCCATATCCAGCTTGGGGAGGTTGGTAGGAATTGGGAGGTCCACTGTAATTCTGATTTGAAGCTGGGGAATTGTAATTTGACTGAGAATATCCACCTGGGAAAAATGGAAAAGCAGTCACTTGTTATACCATTATAACTGCTGCTTCAGTTAAAAAGTGCCAACTATTGTGCATAAAAATATCTAGAAGACAGAACTAAACATAATAACAGGCATATATATTGCCACATCTAGGCTTGAATTGCAGAGTACTTAAGAATATTTTACTTTGTCAGTTCAATAAGTAACACTACCATGCTCGGTGACCAGGTGCTCTGGCATGCATGCAGATTTGGAGTATAGGACCTATCTCAGCCCCAAGTCTTGCAGGATTAAAGTACCAAAGCATCCCATCCCATCCCATCCCATCCCATCCCATCCCATCCTTCTTTCTTTCTCTAATGCCTAGAGCTGAGCAAGAATACCTTCTCTTTTTAATTTACTACAATTGCCTTAGGCTTAGGGATAAGTACTGACAGCGACCACAGATAAGAGTTGGCCATTCAGCCAATGCAACACCTGTGGGGAAATTTTGTCTCCCTAACACGCAAGTGGTTTAAGATTGCGTGTCTAACTCTATACTGACCTTGCTTACCTTGGTAAGATGACCCTCCTCCCCCAGCTCCTCCCCCATAGCCACCGGCATTGTAGGAGGCACCTCCTGAACCATAGCTGTTTGCACCACCACCTCCACGTCCACCACCATAACCTGCAATCAAAGAATGCATATTAAGTCACATATACAAACTACTTTGAACACATCCAGAATTAATGATTGGCCTTCTCCACTTTCTGTATACAAGGAGGTCGCCACTTCTCTCTGTACAGTCTTCAAACACAGTAGCCGCAGTAAAGAAAAACTATTCTGCACCTAGTTGCTAGAAACTGGCAATACATGAAGATAAACATTGTTCTACTATTCTGTTCAAGTTCACTAGACAATAGAATGCCTACATTCTGCCTTTCCCCAAATGATGCTATCTAGATTTTTTGGATGTTACTCACAGCAACTTGTGATTCAAGGGGGAATCAGGCTGAGGAAGGCTATCAGTGCCATATTTCAGTTCAATTTGTCAAGCAGATTAAACTAAATTCTTAAAATACCTTTTTCTAAATCACTTCATCTAGTTCTCAGCTCAAAGATATCTGCTGTTTCACAAGTTTAAATTAGTTTTTACCTGACAATTGCAATACTAGACAATTTCCAACAATTACACAGTCAGACGTAAATAGCAGTATTTAAGCCAGTAAATATTTTTTGTATTATTCCCACTTCTTTTCTGTCTTTACATTCTGGCTTTAAGCATATTTACTTCGCACAAACCAGAAGCAAGCTCATGTAATGTCTTTTTAAATCTTTCTCAACTCCCACCCCACCATCCATGAGAAACTCACTGAATTTACTTTCATAGTTGTAGTCTGATCCTCCACCACCACCACCAGGAGAGTTGTAGGAATTTGAGTAAGAAGCGTAGTTGCCTTGGTTATATCCCTTCTGCTTGCCTTGTGGTGGGCCATAATTGCCATACTGGTTTTGGTTATATGATTGTTGCTGTTGGCCTTGATGGGACTGATATCCTGAGCCATAAGAAGGCTTCTGCTGTCCACCATGTTGTTGTTTTTTCCCAGCATGCTTAGGAGGGGCAGGAGAGCTGTAGTCACCACCCTGATAGTAGGAACCATAGCCAGAGGAACCACCTCCTCCTCCTGCATTGCCCGAATGGCCACCATTGCTGTAAAACTGGCCTGAAGAGAAGAGAACAAGGTCAACCACCGTGAAGGTGACACTAATGTTTAATATGACATGTTCATGAAGATGAGTGTGAAATTGCTCTGAACTGATCCCTTCTAAATTGAGCAACAACATTTGCATTACGTAGGCTGTCTGCGGAACAAAAACAAAAAACACCTACCTGGCATAGACTCAGGTTAGATGTCCTAATTCCTGTGAACAACTGTAAGGACTGAGTACAGTATGTAGTTCTGGCAAAGTGTATCACTGGCTGCACAGTTCACAGATGAACCTCTATCTATATATTACATTAGTCCACCATGTTGAGCTGCATGTAATTTAAAATAATCTAATATAGCATTTTGCATAATATCAGTCCTTTGTAAATAGCAATTTCTCAAGTTAGAATTAAAAATTCTCCCAAAGCTTATATTCAATAGCTATATACTTCAGGTTGATGACATGTCCTAAGATGTAGAGAAAATCCTAGAATGTAAAATAAAGTGATGGTGACAGCTGGAAACAAAATCAGAGCACTTACAACAATGTACACAGTATATACTCTGCACAAAATGTTCCCTGCATGGCACAGGCAGAAAGACATGCATTCTGGTGTGGGAGAGAGCAGAGCAGAGCAATGGCAAAGCCACTAATGGGAAGGAATACACAGGGAAGGAATGCACAGGATAATGGGAAAGAATGCACGCCAACTAATGGGAAGAAATGCACAGGAAGATTGACAGATGGGCTAGAGCACAAGCTATATAGAGGAGGGAGAGAGGACTGAGTGTACTAGCCTTTCCCATAGAACCTCTCTAGATTTTGTCCTGGTCAAAACCCAGAAAAAGTAAAATTGTGCACTTCCGAGCCACAACATGCTTCTTTTGTGCATGAAAAAAAAAAAAATTAATGCATATCCCTATTCATTTTTAAGTGTTTGGCTCTTTGCTTAGAATTCAATTTGAAGTTTATGTCTCAAGTCACTTACAACCAGAGATTTGTTTTCTTAAAGGAACACAAGACATTACACCTGCTCTCTGACATACTATTAGCACATATATGTTACCAGTTATAAAACACAAAACTATCTGCTTATAGTTAAAACTGAACCAACAGCTGCAGTTCAGCAAGGAGTCATGTACAAGGAAACTTAAACCTGGTTATTTGGAGTAATTTTACTTCTTAATCCAAGTTATTCCTAAAACACATCCAGCACTATTGCTTCTTCCAGGATACTAGCATTTAAAAACTAATTTTTACTTTATTCAGAGCCTTTATCCAAATTTATATCTCCACTGTGCTTGCATTTATTTCATTAACTATTGAATTAATAGGTTTCACATTGTTCCTAAGGCAGTGATCAGACTAAACGCATTTAATATGACTACTGAAGCAAAGAGAACCAAACAATCCATTTATTAAAAATCTTAATGACTAGTTTATTCCCTGTGCCTTTCAATGTTCAGTAGTTTTCATGTCTTGTGATACTACATACATCTTCTTCTGGGGACATGTACTGGAGAATAGGAAAAAGAGCCACATCTTACAAGAACTGCAACAAGCCCACTGCAGTTAATCAAACCACTGAAATGTTAGAGATAATACAACCCAACAAGGGTAACTCAGACTATACATCCTGCATGTTATACCAATACAAGAAACACAATGGATGCAGAGATTAAAATCAGCACATACTATTTTCACATACAAGTCAAGATTATGCATGCTCAAAACATTAGGTTGTTGTAGATTCAGAACTGTTAAAAGGTATTTCTCCTTATTACAAGCATTTACCCACTTTTTGGGACTAAAAGGTTTGTTTTGTACAAAATCTTTTGAAAATTTAAGACAAAAAGGTAGCACACTTTTGCAAGTTCTGTAAAAATAAAATGCTTTCCATAAAAAGCAAACAGAGGCCTTTTGCTTGTAAGCAGAACAGAGTTGGCTCTTATTGTGCATAATGCACAAAGACATTCCTTGAACTTTTGCTCCCCAATAGTGTACATCCATATGACCAAAGGCAAGTCACAATTAAAACTGCCACTGTTTGTAGGCTAAGTTTCAGAAAGCTGCGGTGAAAAGCCACTGTTGAGAAACCCAGTGAAGCACAGGGACACAGCACGAACACATTGGTTTTGGAGTTCGAGAAAATTGGAGTAAAAAGCTGTTTTATGTGCAATACTTTTAGATGATCTAGGAAGACCCAAAATCATGATAGCCGTAGCAGTCTGTGAAAAAGTCACCTACAAAAGGGGGAGACAGAGCAGAGGAAAAAAAATTAGAATTTTTGAAGATGGCAAAATGTGCCACATTTTTAAAAATTATTTTTTATTTCTCTGCTCCCGTCATCCCCCCTCCCATCAAAGGTCTTTCAAAACAAAATTGTGTATTTTTAGGGAGAACTGTTTTACAAGAATGGTGTATTGCTTCACTTGGCTTAAAGCAGAGAAATTTAAAATTAGTTTTAAAGAGATCTTTCTTCATTTCACTATGCAATATAATACTGAGTTTTGTTATCCCAGAGTGTTGTGTCAATTTTTTTTCCCGCTTTTTACTCCAATTTTCTCGAACTCCAAAACCAATGTGTTCGTGCTGTGTCCCTGTGTTTTACAAGAATGGTGTATTGCTTCACTTGTCTTAAAGCAGAGAAATTTAAAATTAGTTTTAAAGAGATCTTTCTTCATTTCACTATGCAATATAATACTGAGTTTTGTTATCCCAGAGTGTTGTGTCAATTTTTTTTCCCATTAAACACTTACTATAGCCTGCTGTTGCAGAGTTGCCACCATAGCCGTAACTTCCATATCCAGCCCCTAAGAGAAAATACCAAAAACATTATTCACTTGCAATTACATGAAATGATTTAGAATTGGTTTTTTATGCTTGCACAATGTGTAAATCCTCTGACACACACAAAAAGGGGATTCTAAAGAACCCGGTATGGCCAGTGTATGCCGAACTTGGCAACATTCCACCTACCTCAAATTGAGTAACCAAATTCCAAACTTTATGAATAACATAAGCTCAAACATAAGACATGTTATAAAGTTTCAAAGGTGATTAAGCTACATAAGGAAACTTAATATTATTTGCTTATAAACGTTATAGTGGTAAATAAAAGGAAACTCACCAGCATTCATATAACCTCCATGATTGGCACCACCAAATCCACCTCGGCCTCGACCTCGGCCTCGGATATTTCCTCCTCTGCCACGACCCCTCATGCTTGGAGGAGGTGGTACTTCAGCATGCATAGGACCTCCCATACCATAGCCTGGATTATGCTGTTGAAATTAATTGAAATCCACTCATCAGAAAAATATAACAAAGCTGTTTATTCCTGGCCCTGGCCACTTATTCTATACTTATATAAAAGTGTCTGAAAAATGCATATTCAAATGTGCTTCAAACTGTCTATCAAACTTTAAGCCTCAATTTCTAGAGAAATACAGGGGTATTTCTGATATAAACTGTAATGCATGTACCTACCTTTACAGGAAATTTGGGTCCACCTCGTGCTGGCATAGGGGCTCTTTTTTTCTTCTGCTCCATTGGAAGAGGGGCATCTGGAAAAAGCTTTTCTAATGCAGCCAGTGCAGCATAAGCTTTTGCCACTTTTTTATTTGAACCAGCTCCTTGGAACTTCTGGCCATCAACCTCAACCTTCAAAATGAGAAATGGTTTCAGGAACGGAGCTGCAGGTCAAGGTACTTATTATAACAGCAATTACGAATTCAGTTTTGTGGACCAAGTCATCTCACCTCCATCACAAACCGTTTGTCATGACTGCCACCAGTTTCTGAAATCAGCTCATATTTTAAGCCACGCCGTTTCTCATTGAGTTCCATAACTGGATTTTTTCCATGCTTGGTCAGTATTGGTCCCTGCTGTTTCACATTCTAAGAAGTAAAAATATTGCATTGAAAATAAGTCTGATTAAATTTTAAAAAGCACTAATGTTTCCTTCAACATTTCAAAAGTATAACTTACAAATTAAAGAAAGGTAAGAGCACACTAAACCAGTTACTTACTTTGTTCTGGCTCTAAATTAATAAAGTATCTAACTAAATCAGCACAGACTAACCCAAAGGCTTACCAAAATCACTGTTCTTATTTCCAATGGGCAGTTTGCTAGAAATCTCCTCTCTGCATGGCAACATGTTCTAGACAGAAGCTAACTAATTTAGACACGGATCACTAAGATCTGCATGTATAGTTGGGAGAATATCATAAGAGAAACAGTGGTAAGATATAGTTTAGGAATTATTTCCTAATTCCTAAGAGAACAGACCATAAAGAACTTCACAGAAAGGAGTTTTCTAGAAAATGCAATTCAATGGGAAACACCCCCAGAAATGTCAGTGGTAAGGGAGCTAGAACAGGTGGAGTGAAGAGAAGCATACAAGAAAGATAATAGATGATAAAAAAAGTTTCTAAAATGAAGTAGAAACATGACACTGATGTGGAATGAAATATACAGGTGTGAAGCACCTAAGAGAAGAGTAAGCAATGTTCACCTCTGTTTGCTCTGAAGGAGAAGCAGCACTAGGGGTACAAATAATTTCCACTATAGGAGGAGCAGCAACCGCAACTGGTTTCTGATCTGTTTCCTCTGCTGATTCATCACCTCTCTCTCTGCCTTCCACACCTGTAGGTAATCCCATGTCTTGCAGAACCTAAAACAAGAAGAAATTAACTATAATTGTTCTAATACCATCTATTGTACAGCTTCTTAGCAACTTTAAAGAATCCTACCACCTATCCTGAAAGGAACAGTCACATCTTCACTCACAAACACAAGTAATCCATCTTTCATTTTTTGGCTGTTCAGCACTCAACTAGATCTTTAAGAGACTGTATTTAGTCTCTGAATGGCAAATGCCAGATATTGAAGGGAGCAAGTAAAAAACTAAGTTTTATTTAATTTACATTTAAATTTTACTGAAGACAAATTACATTGTTAATATAATTGCTTTCAATAAAGTTAATTCAACTATGATTTACTAGCAAATGTTACAGATATTCTCAGTGGGCTCTTTTTACAGAACTTGCCTCCATGGGCAAGACCACAAGTTGGAACTATAGTTTGTTAATTCAGCTAATGCCAAATCATAATAAACACAAACATACATTGGCCATATATACACATACATTAACTTTTTATTCCGGCTTCTTAATCAGTCATCCATTATACTTTTGTGAAATTTGAGAGCCAGGATGGTGTAGTGGCTAAGGTGCTGGGCTAAAAACCAGACTATTGAGTTCTAGTCCTCCCTTAGATATAAAAGCTGGCTGGGTGACATGGGCCAGTCACTTTTTCTCAGCCCAGCTCACCTCACAGAGTGGTTGTGGGGAAAACAGGAGGAGTAAGCATAAAGTATGTATGTCCCCTTGAGTTGGCCAAAAATAAAGCTGATATAAGAATCAAATGACCAAGCAAAGACACCAATTCATTTTCTGAGAAGAAATTAAAGAATTTAAGCTATTTTTAAAAGCAAAAGCACATATTCACAACTATCCTTTACCTTTACTGCTACATGCAACTTGGCTGTTTTTTTTGAAGGTCCTGAAGCTTCATAAGTGATGCCATCAACTTCCACAGACATAGTAAATATAGGAGCATGAACTGGACCTGTCTGAGATACTAGCTTATATTGAAGTCCAGGTTTTAGCTGGTTCAGCTTCATCAGAGCATTCATAGCTTGTGGAGGTTCTGACTTTTCCTCTGAAGAAAAGAAATCGTTTTTAGATAACAACATCTTCATAAGAGAGCCTATGCATTAATACTGCCAACTGCTAAATGCAGTCTTAACTTTACTGCTATCAAGCAAAAGCATAAAGACCTGTCATTTCTATGAGAACTTTCTACTATTCATCTAGTTACACATAACACTGAAACCAAAACAACTATCTTAGTGAACACCTGAAAAACTAAGCATACCTACCTCTTGTCAACTCAATACCTTTTTTCTGAATCTTCTTTTTCTTTTTGCTTGGAGACTTCTCCTCTCCATCTTCTTCCATAGGACGTTTTAATGGAGTAATGGCGTATGTTGTGCTAGGGGGGATCTGGACTGGTAAGATAAGAGTTCAAAATGTTAGTACCAATGCCAATAAATCTATGAAAAATAGAGTTCCCAAGTTTCAAAACCTACCAGTGTAGTCAACTGGATTTTCATTTTTTGGTTTCTTGGGCATCTTTGATGGCAATGGATCCATCCCCAAGACTTTGTGAAGCTGGCCAAATGCAGCAAGCCTTAGAGCATGCTAGAAAGATATAATGCATGTTATTGAGGAGCCACTCTGCTCCCAACATCTATTAAAACAATACCCAGTCCCAGTATTTCACATAAACATCTTCTGAAAATCATAGTTAAATACTCTGGAACTTAATGTTAAGTGTTAAAAACCTGATACCTCATTTCTGGCAATCAATAACAGCCTCCTACATTACTGAAATGGGACCCTTTTTCTAATAAAAGCCAGCCTCATGGAGGTTACTAGCTACCATTAAGAACTCATTGCGGTTTTGTAACATCTGTAATCAAAACTATACCTGAGCACTCTGTGTGATATCTTCCCTTTGTTGTCTGTCTAGATGCCCAATAGCATCAGTGGCTTCTTTTTCACAAGGATCATAAATACCAGAACCATCTGAAGGCAGGAAACAAGGAAGATATGCAGAGAATTATCCTAGGATCTCTATGTAAACTTGAATATTCCCTTAGTATCACCTAACACTCAACGCTATAAGCAGCCCAAGTGAAGTTCTTGAGTCAATGGCTGATAATCTGATCTACTCTAAATTGCAGACCATTAAGCCCAACAAAGTGGCAAGCTTGCTGAAGTATAAAAGTGCTCCAGAAACTACTTATATGGTCTGTTATTCCCCCATTACAGGAGTTGAAATAGTGGGTCCAAAGGACATCTACTCAACATATCATCATGCCCTAAATATATAATCTTAAATGAAATAGATGATCAAAAGTAATTTGTAACAGTTAAGAGAGCAAATTTCTGTTATATCCACTGAAATTCTCAAGAGCCAAGGACCATCTAACCTGGCATAACTATTCCAGATGCGAGGCATTCAAGAACTCTTCTCAGTGCCTCACCAGCTCCCATGGGCCGATTGGCTGTTCCAATTGACTTCTCACAAAGCAACTCTAGAGGCTGAAAAGAAATTTCCGGAACAATGAAAGAACAGAACAATTATCAAAATCTGCAATACAAATACAGATCTTTCTGACCATAGCTTTCTGTTATCCATGATAGGCAGCTTGCACAACAATATACAGGCAGTCCTAGTTCAGCAACTGTCTCATTTAGTGACTGTTTGCAGTTATGAC